ATTCACAAGTTCGTAATAATTTAATGATATAAAAAGGTGATAGGTCCACTACTTTGTAATTAAAGTTAAACAGAAACCCAAGTTTCCAAGAGTTGTTTTGTAGGGATTCTATTCGTTTCAGGATAGACCAATTACTGATACCAGTTAGAGAAACATTGGAAACCAGCAGGCAGTACTGGGCAGCGGTTTTGTCATCCTAGTTTGAGACTCATCGTCAGCACGCACCCACTTCACAGGACTCGAACCCAGGACCTTCTGATTACAAGGCAAGCTGGCTCGTATACCATTCAGCCACCGGGACCCGATTTAATGACCATCCCATGAATTCTGACTTCTATCAATTTAGCGCGACCACTATCCACTGTCATCGGCGGGGAAATTCATCCTCATTCCCAAATGAATGGACTTCACTGATCAAGACTTCTCACCAGAACTCCAGACAACTCCGTCCTGTATCCAGTCTCTAGTGAGCATCAGATTAATTTTCAAGAGTTCGGTGTGTAAGGAATTAGATTTGTTTTTCAAATTTAACCATACCTTGTTGATATCAGTTAGAAAACCATTGCAAACCATCCGAGAGTAATGGACAGCTGTTTAATCCCGGTTTGGGAATCAACAGCTGTCCAGTACTCCCTGATTCCCAATGGTTCTCGAATCGATATCATCAATCCGTGGTTTAACTCGAAAAAGAAGAAACCTAAGTATCAGTTAGTTAATTATCATTTGCAAATCGATACGATACAGAACTGCTGACGAAGATCCAATGAAGTTTCAGAATTCTTTTGCAAAATATCAGAAGATATTTCAACCTTTTCAGAATAATAAATGTTGCATGCATAAAACAAATTCACAAACATACATATATACCACCTAACAGCTATCCGCATCGACTTAAGATCTCATAGTTAACGTCTTCTTATGAATTTTAGTGTAAAATGTCAGTTTGCGAAGTATACTAAATAATCACACCACTTGTTTGCTATTCTCTCTTCCCTAATGTATAAAAGCATCTTTTTAAAAGATAGAATATGATTCATCATCTCAACTTATTATTAAGAAGATTGTTAATAAGTTTTATGTGTATCTCAGGTGTTGCTTATACATGATGACTAGTCTATTAAAAAAAAAAAAGAAAGAAGTAGAAGTTGTACTTCTTTATGTATGCAAATTAGTATTGATATAGATATTGATTAAAAATAAGTGTTTGACGGTATCACTGAAGTACAACATCAGTTTTCATGTTCAGACTGATAGAAATAGAAATAAACAAAGAACAGACGGGTGTTAACGATAAGATTTTTCTTCTACTTATTATTTCTATTACTTAACACTGGAACAACTCTCAATACGCCATTTCTAAATTTAAAAAAATTTATGCATGATACTACAAATGGAAGGAAATAAAAAACACTATTGAGTGTTTTTAATTTTCACTAAAGTATGGATGAGTAACACGAAAGGTAAGCTGCATTCTGCATTTTCTAGACAGATAACTAGTAATAATACAGATATGATTGACAAAACACATAAAACTCAAAAAGATAGAACTACTCAATACATACACTGAATTAGTCCATATTATTTTGTTCCTTGGCAAAGTTAAAGTATCACAGCCCGTAGGATGCGGAGGCATGAGTAATCTTGAGACAACCAGTCATAGGAGTAAGTGAATTTTACACAAAAAAATGATGTTTACTTACAAGAAAATGCATAAAAACACATTAAAGAGGTTATCTTTCTCTGACATGACTTAAAGATTCGTCTCAGTTATAATGAAAGAGTGTTAGTTTTTAAAATAAACTTATTTCTATACATATATTCATCAAGGTGATGGAAAATAGGTTCGTTTTATGAGGCGTTTATTTCCCTTATCCTGTTTTCCAATCTATCCCAGTAGCCCTCTATTTAATTGGCATGAGCGCCAGTTATGAGGTCGACGAAATCATCAAGATTGTTAACTCGATGACGAATTTATCTCAAATCTAATATGTGGTTACATCCAGCCCATTCATCGGTGCGGATAGTGGTACCAGGGATAACCAGACTTTGAATAATGGGTAGAAGACAGTTGGCAATGTGATCTGGAATCACTTCCATTATCCCCTTCTGAAGTTAAGTGTCATGAATAACCAGTACCTAAAAGTTGTTAGCTCTAGCGTGACCGCGATTGTGCTTCTTCTTTATAAGCACTGTTTCATCGATGTGAACAAACACACCAACTCTTCCCAAAACCTGTGTAACATGATTCAACTTCCAGGAGGCTATATCTCTGCAATACTGAAACCACTGCACAGTTGACACCAAGGTATTTTCTGGTGCATGGTAGTTGATCTTAATCCGGACTTTAATATCCACTAATGGGACACAAACAGTCAAAGGTAGTTTCAATTAAGTAAAGAAAGTTCCTAGAAAACAATGAACTGAGTATGTAACTTACCAGTACGAACACTCATTTGTTTTTTATACTGTTTGCACCTAAATTCATGTCCATCACAGGCTTCTGAATACCTTTGCGGATATATGGAAGCACCACAAGAACATCTGCCGCTACGCGCTATCAATCCATTGATCAAGCAGTACTTAAAAACGTGATCTGGATGAAATTCGCTTTTTAGTTGTTGAATAGCACTCATATTAGCGCTATAATAATGAAAGGTCTCGTTATCTAACGAATAGCCCGCGTTCGAGGTCATTGGAGCGTTTGCATCTGTAGGCCGCTAGTTCACACTATCCCCTCATCCAAGTTCATATTTCATATTCAGTCAACACTCAGCTGCAAGTCATTATCAGAAAATGACTAAAAGATGAGACTAAACGGTAATAAATTTGTCGAGATATTTTTCAATAATGGCTTTTAATCAGTTCATAGTGTGTGTGTAAAAACCATATCAATCACAATTTTTCCCACCCTATCTAGACACAGTTTTCTCAAATCCCACAGGCAAATAAAGACAGCTAAATCATCATTATAAATTTGAACAGCTGTGCTTGTCATGAAATAGTTTACCACCTGATATTACATGCAAATTATTCTATTGTATTACATGGCAGAATAATTCAAAGTTTTATGATGTTTTAATAGGATAAAAGTTTTTCAGTAGAGTAGATATGATTAGAAACCAAGAAATATCATAATTTGAAATAGGAATTTTATTTGTTCAGTTATTGTTGGTTATCAACTTTTTGGCTATTAAAAGCTTTTTACTTGTGCTTTAAAGATAGAAAATTGGGAGAACACCAAAATAACAGACAGTGAAGTAATACTTCCTTTCCGTTGTTCACAGAACTATAGTGAGCTAAATTAATAAAACAACTGTTCAACACTTGTTCAACGTGTGTATAAGTAGATGCACTGTAGAGATTACCCTGCATCTGTGTTTTGTTAACACTAGTTGGAATCACACAAATTCGAAGGTGAAAACCAACAAGTCTGCAGAAGAGGATGGCAATGAAGACAGAAATTCAAGTGAATATAAAGAGAAGAAAGAGGTGATAACAAGAAACAAAGAGCGCCGATCCCTATCAGCAGGAGAAAATTGAACTGGGCCACCTCTTTTACTTATCTAAGCAGCATCATTTCAACTTCAGGCAGCACGGATGAAGATGTCAAAGGTAGGATCAGAAAAGAAAAACAAATCTTTATTATTCTGAGATGTGTGGATATCTACTGCACTCAGCGTAAATAACAAGATCCGAATTATGTTTAGCATTAATGTCAAGTCACTGTTTTTATATAGTTCAAAGACTCGGTGTACATGTTATCTGAAGCATTTCTAACAACCTGCTGCAGATTTTCATCAACAGCTGCCTCAGCCCGATACTGAAGATCAGGTGGTTGGCCGTAAAGAATAAGAAACAAGAAACTCTGGGAATGAACTGACTAGGAACCTATTGACCAACAAATATGTCGAAGAAAATGGGGAGATGGATAGGTCAAACTCTGAGGAGACCTTTTAGTGACATCGCTCTCCAAATCCTCAAATAGAAAATGAATATGAAACTACGAGTTATGCGTGGGTTGGGGGTGGAGAAGATCATCTAGGAAGAGAATGAGGGCTTATGGGCCAGCTAAAGAGGATTGCAGACAACAGGATAAGACGGAAGACATATGTTCCACTTTGAATCTAAGGGGATAATATCAATAATTCTAATCTACAGACTGATAAATTAATCTTCCTATTAACCAATGATTAAATATTTTATATACTAAAATTGTAAGTCAAGTGTTGTCTAAAGAACTAACAGTCTGATGATGATAATTGCAAAGACGGCGAAGATGAAGTGAAGTGGAATATGCAGCTGATTACATTGGACTTTGTAAGCGTGTTCTCCGTAAACGCGTAGCTGAACACTAATAGGTTTAGTTAATGACAGGTGAGCATAGAATGACGAAGTCTTCAATCTGTGAACACATTCTGGAGTCAAGACATTCAGCCCACGTGATTTATCCTTTAAAGTTACCTACAGGACCAAATCCAATCACACCAAAAGCTTACGTTTTCCCTACTTATGCATAGCCGAAGCTCTCGCTATACATGGACAAATACCTAAATTATGTGTACAAAAACGTTTTGCTAGACTCCTTCCTTTACCTTGGTCATAGCTATGCTCTTTTTGTTTTATTCTATTTTACCGCTTGAATTCTTTACGCTTCACTTCATCTTCGCTGTCTTTACTGTTATCATCATCGTACTCTTAATTTTTTGACAATACTTGACCCACAATTTTAAAATCTTTATGCCAGCTTACTTATTTTATATATTGCAGGAACATATCTGCACTCCCCTAGGTGCTTCGATGAATGGATATTTTTCAGTCTTTAATGAGAACACTAATTTACTTAAGATGGGTGATAAGTGCCATGAAATGAAGGATTTATGCACACAGAACTTTTAAGTCTATTCCACAACGTTCAACTGTTTTAGACAGTAAGAAATAATTTTCAAACTAATCAAATTTGGAACTTATCAATATGAATAATTTTAAAAGTTTGTAATTACTTGTTTCTTAGGTGTTCATAATATATTTCCGAGCCATCATCATCATTATCATTTCTATCATCCTTCATTAGTGTTCCCTGATTGTCTGTTGTTGTTTCACACGACGGGATACCCATTTGTTCAACTGGATTTGGATTATCCCGAGCAAAATTCATTTCTTTGCATTCACTTGACTCGAAATATGTAGATGATGATTTCGGTACTTTTTCTGTATTCTTATTTAGTTTAGTGCTAATATTTAGTTGACTATGAGATGAAGTAATTGGTAAATTTCTTGATTTACCGCTATGCAAAATATTCGTCTGACAGTTGTTCTTCATATCAAAATTAGGAGTTATACAGTTCCTCTGTATTAATGATGAGGTATTTTTAGAGATATTGACTGGAACAGCTGCAGTTGGTGGTGAATGCTGAAACTTAGCAGTTTCTTTTCCACCTGTATAAACCTTTGATTGAACTCCAGGCGTTGACTGACCACTTGATACATGTTCATTGACAATAACTAAACTATTCATAAGTGAAGATGATGGAGAATATGAACAAGAAGGAGACGATAAAGATGATGTTGAAATTCTTAAGGAAGACTGTCGCATTGAAGCATCAGAGTTACACACTGATGCATTTTCATATTTTGAGTTTCTACATAAGGGTTCCTGTTTTTCAGCATAAATTTGTAGACTACGAATTTGACTCTGAAGACTGTTTATCTGAAGGATGCAAAGAGAACAGAATTAATGAACTCAAATTTTAAAAAATGATCAACATTTATATGATTTAAATAAGCACTTTTCAAATTCAAAATATCAGTAAAGATATTGATACCTTAAAAACTCTGAAAAATTACATAGTTTCATGGAAAAATGTGATTTCTTGAACTTTGAAAGGGATACTAAATAGATTAGAAATTGGTGGAAATGGGTTCGATTGAGAGTTAACATGTAACTATTATTTTTGTTAAATTCTCCGATAAGGTAAATGTGTGTACAAAATTAAGCGAATATCATAAATTAAAAGTCAATATGAACGAAGAATATTCTTTTCAATAATTTCTCTTCAGGTTCTTACAATTATAAAATATAATATTTGTTGTCGTTACAATAAGGCCAGTTATGCGGCAGATACATTTTTAACGTAGAATAACAGATTAGTTATGGGGTGTCAAAATAAATAGTCGTATTTGTGTGACAAACGTGCTAGGCTGAATTCGATTACAAAATAATGTAAAACGGGAGACAATGGTGATTAATCATAATAGATTTGTAGAGTGGGGGTAGGAAAATTGACAAGTCAGTTCAAGGTTATAAAAGGGTGTCAGGTGAGTGGCTAGTACAAAGTGGTCTGTGTTAAACAGGAGATAGTAAGACTGCATTGGGAGGTTCATAATGAGATAACGAATATGTGAAATGAAACAGGTGGAGGCATATATTGAGAAAAGAGATTATATCACTAATAATAAGTCCGGATAGTATAAACGAAAAAAAAATTCGATAGTATTGAGAGAATGTTTGCATGAAGGGCATAAATGTATCTGCCGCATAACTGGCCTTATTGTAACGACAACAAATATTATATTTTATAATTGTAAGAACCTGAAGAGAAATTATTGAAAAGAATATTCTTCGTTCAGACTTCATTTAAAACAAAAATCAATCGATCAGTATTTGCATACAGTAATAATATATACATATATAAATGTAATATAAAACACTATTTCGAACAATAATAATCATGCACAATGGAAACTTTTCAGCATTTCTCATTCAGATGAAAGAGAGATGAAAAATATCCAGTTAACAGGGCAAAGAAAGACTGATAACTGCTTCTTTCTGGAAGCATAAATCTGAATTTATACAAACGACCTAGTTAGAAAAACTGACAAAGACAAATAATAAGTGCTGAATGTGACAATACGTACAGTTCATACTGTGTAATCTTGATGCCTACATACAAATCACTTTTTGTAATTCAAAGGTTTTAAAAATAGTACAAAATGTTTCGTTGTAGAGGTTTGATCTCATGGATTTTGAATAGCATTTCCTTTAATTATGATTTATAACAAAAAAACAGATAATACGTTCTGTGGTATTTTTAGCTTTTGAAGCACAAACAACAGAAAAGGAAAAGAAATAGCTGCATTGTAGCACAATGAGTTCCCTATTATTCATATTCCTGTGGTTCTTTAATTTTTTCTATTCTTTTACTTTCCTATTGGAACATAGGGTTTCAAGCTAGAGGCTTGAAGTTTCGGTAGCAGTAGGGTTTGCTTTACAGGATGGGGTTGCTAGCCTCACGCCCAACCTTCCCTGTTCACTAGTCTTATTACCGTCTTAGTGAGGTAAAGGAATGTGTGGGTGGCTGCAGATCGAACTTCGAACCACATGTGTGGTTGGCGAGCATTCTACCTCGGTGCCATCGACGCACACTTCTTCCTGTGGTAATATCAGTAAAATTTTCTCCTATAGCCAATCTAGTAGTTTAAGATATTGGTTATTCTGTATAGACTAAATTATTCGGTATCCCCATTTAAGGTTGACTTGAGACATAAATTCATTGCAGAGTTGAAGATTTAACCTATGCCCTTTCTTTAAAACTTTTATTGTCACACACAAGTGGTATGGCTAGAATGTAAACGTAAGTTATAGTCTAATAGCCTGACCATTTTTTAAACTTAGAATAACTCAGAGTGAAACTATCAGTTGGATTTGTTTTGAGGTACCACATACTTTAGTTTTGTTTTCAGAAGGCCTATTCAATTTATGCATCTCTAAAAAGCTTCCATCTTCAGACAGCTCTAAACAGTCAGCAAAATGTATGTATATTCCTGAAGTGCCGTTATTTATCACGTTCGCATTACATTGCGTACAAGTTGAAAAAATAGCTTCAGAAGTCTAATTAACCAGTACTGCAATCTTTACAGACATCAGTACGCATTAATTACTCAGAATAATCAGATAATGCTATCGACGTCATCAGGTACTTTATTTACAAGTACTGTTATCCTTGTTATACTTAAACTTTTAAAGTATATATATACACTGATTTTTAGTGTCTCATTATTACAGCCTCATCTTAATTTGAAAGTGTGAAAAACTTTTCCAGATGTGTATTAAACAGACATTTTTTGGTGTTAATTCCTCAGCTATGTATGTCGTATTTCGTTCTAAAGAAAGTCTTCATTTGAAATTATTATCACTATTATCATTATGTCAAATGGAAAGATTGTTCGGTACACTAGTACACTTTCCCAATTAGCCGTAATTCGAAGTAAGTTAAATACATAAAATCAATCTCTTGTCTAGACATTCGTATCACGACTCCTTATTCTTATTAACTAGTGCAAAAAAAAACGATGACGAATTCTGTCTATGGTATGTCAGGCTTAAGGATAATGGAGGTTTGATTTTCACAAATATGACTTTCTAACTGTTGCGCCAAAATATTTGATGACAATTAGTATTAATTCTGCATTAGTTTCGGTAGCACCTGAATGCTAGTCACCTTTTATTGACTTGTATTGTTCCTATACACAGTTTGATACTTCTGTTATACTTAGGAGCCAGTATTAGTCTTCCTTGTTGCATTTATGGTACATTTAATTCGTTGGAGGGTGTACCTTATTATCTGAAGCTATAGAGAGTCTTCTGGTGACAGCTAATGAATGCAGAAAAGTGAATAGGACATTAAAGTATGTGAGTTCGAGTCGTCAACTATTTTTACTTATTAGTAATAATGATGTAGAAGATTAGAAGAAGGTAGGAGATAAAAGATGGATTTGAAATCAAAAACATATACTGAGTGATTATTTTACTTCTACTGAAGAAAGTCTAGTGAATATTCACACTGTAATGATTTGAAAGTTCGATTATCGAAACCCGTCCAACTAATAATGACAGCTTGATCTCAATGAACTGCTGTTCTTTCTTAATTTAAATAGTCTTATGACTGTTTTAACACTAACGTTTTTGTAGCTACTATTTTAAGTTGAACAATGTGCTTTCTCATTGGTAAAATAACATTAAGATATCCGTCAAAACACTTGTATTTGTTTGGGTGGAGGATTTCATCATGAACTGACATCGATTAGAGAATCACCGGAAAATCTGGGAGTACTGGACAGCTGTTTCGTCATCCTAGTTTGGGACTCTTCATCAGTACACACCCACCACCAAGGTTTGAACCCAGGACTTTCCTGTTACAAGGCGAGCTCGTGGACCATTGAGCCACTAAGACCCAACCCAATGGTCCAGCTTCTGCCAATTCACAACATAGGGCGACCATTTTGAAATGTCTTCTTCGATCATTTACTGCCTCATCTTCAACCTTCTGTACCCTACTGGACACGACTTCCCACTAGAACCTCAGGTCACTGCCCGAATACGACCAGTCACTAGTGAGCATCAGATTAATTCAAACCCCGGTGGGTGCGTGCCGATGAAGAGCCCCGAACTAGGGCAAAACAGCTGTCCAGTACTCCCTGTTGGTTTTCCAGTGGTTCTCTAGGTGATTTCAGTTCATGATGAAATCGTCCATCCAATCAAACAAAATCCCTAGAGAACTAATGCTTGAAAACTGATATTTGTCTTAAAAACACTACTTAATCAGAAGATCGACTCCAAACTGACTAAATTTGCCTGTGTTCAGAAGATTGATAAGTAGAGTGACAATACATATATATAATCTGAACAAACTTACTGTTTCTTGATTACGCTTAACAGCTAATCTGTAAGCCTTGCGTGATGTTCTGTTCCGTCTATTCTCATTTGCACACTTCATGTTAGCCAGCATTATATTTTTAACTGCATTCAATTCAACTTCAAGCCATGAAATAGCTTTTTGTATATCTTTACAACTGTAAATATCGAAAGCCTCCTGCTTAGAATTTTGAATATCTGTTTCATTGCTTATAGGTGTAAGATTATCTAGATTCATCGATTGACTAGAATTTAGCAAGCCTGTAGAAAGTGAAGACAATGGAGATGATGATGACAGTGATGTAACTGTTTGTGTTACTGAAGCTGCCGCCGCTGCTGGTGGTGGTAGGGGTTGAGGTTGTGTTGTTGGTTTCGTTGTCGATTGATTGGTTGTTTGACGCAGGAGTACACCTGAATCACACAGAGATGGACTAGAAGCAGATGTGCATAATTCATTATTGAACTGTAGTAAATTACTTTTAAATCGTGGTTTAAACGTCAGTGGAAGAGATTTATTGAATTTTTGCATAATGCAGTTTTCATTTTGTAATTTTTTAGCCGATCGTGTTGAATTCAGCGTTTCATTGGAATATTCTTTTGTAGGGTAATTAAGAGTCTTTGAATTGTTCATGACCTGTAAACCAATAATATTTCGGTGGGAAATCAATTAAAATTAAATAATATTAATAATAAGCTTTATATTTTGAATTCAAGCATACGACTGATTTATATCCTTTCACTTATTACACATTATATGTATAATATCCTACTATTTTGAGGCATTTTCTTTCCTTTTCTATTCCTAATCTTCTAAATTAATATTATGCAACACACTTCTTACTAACATCATAACAGTTTATTGTGTTTAGCAAGAATGGAAGGTGACAACTGCCCATTTTTGAAAGCGTTTCATTGATACTTTATTGATACCAAATCTAAAGAAACCGACGCCAGCAATCCAAGTGCTGCTGTTTCGAAAGCTTTTGGTAGGATCTCTCTTTCACCCCTAGTTTCTATATTTGATATATAAACAGTATCATACAGTTCCTTTCACATTATGTTATCGTTATTCTGTTGCCAGGATCAAACCAGACACGAAACTATTTAAACTAGATAATTGATTAAAAATGCCCATTAAATTTTTCAAAAGAATAGACGGGGAACAAAGAGTACTCTTTTCGATAAATTCATCATCAGGCTCTACAATTATATATACATTATAATGAATGAATGAATGAATTAGTCTTATGAACGACATTAATGTTTAAATAACATCAAATTAATAATATTGATAGATTACAGCTGAACAGCATCAACATAGAATAAGCTGAATGTCAGAAGAATTAGGAAAGATAATATTACAAATTCATGAGTTTATAGTCTCTACTGAGGGCCAGGGCAGTAGTAGGGGCTAACAAACTACCAAAATCGTCGAAGCACCGCTTGCTCCAAACAGCAGAGGCTATTGCAATTCGGCTCAAACAACCAGTGCTCTGTGTCCAAAAGAAACAAGTTCAGCCCCCCCCCCTACTGCCCTGGCCCTCAGTAGAGACTATAAACTCATGAATTTGTAATATTATCTTTCCTAATTCTTCTGACATTCAGCTTATTCTATGTTGATGCTGTTCAGCTGTAATCTATCAATATTATTAATTTGATGTTATTTAAACATTAATGTCGTTCATAAGACTAATTCATTCATTCATTCATTATAATGTATATATAATTGTAGAGCCTGATGATGAATTTATCGAAAAGAGTACTCTTTGTTCCCTGTCTATTCTTTTAAACTAGATAAGTTGATGAAGAATCAATTTTGCTGATGAGAGCTATCAACAGAGATTGTTTGCTTTGTGAATAATGGAAAATTTCATAAATACTTTCACCAGATTAATCACTGAGTTGAATCAATATTGCGAAATCCTGTCAGCCCTTCGTAACAGTGTGGCATTCGCACTAAGAATAAACAAAAATGGCAGATATTGAATCATAACAGATATGATTCAAACACTTTCTCTTAATCCTGCCCGCATGTTTTTATTTTTGTTTACTATAAGCCTGAATAATAATCGCCTTCCTTTTTTGTTAGATAACAGCTGGAAATCAAATGTCATGCAACAACACATAAATATGTCCTTAAAACATTTTTATTTTATTTTTTATTTTCATAAGGATCAGAACAGTGTAGTTCAGTCCAGAAAGGCAAACAAACACGAAGGATTTCTGGGGTGAATATTTAAATGGTGGAAACGTCATGAATTTCAGAATGCCCAAAAGTATAACATACACAAGTATTATTTTGGTTTAGAGTCCTAATCCATTCAGCCTTGTATCGCAGTATTCCCTCTTCCCATAGAGATAGAATGAACTGTTATATATATTCCAACTGAAATATGATCTCTTATTCTAGTACATCTGAATAGCACAATAATATTTTATTTGTTCAGACATAAAAATAACAGATATTGTAATTTCCTATGTGTTTCAATAACCATTTTGAAACATGTTCTTTTTCGACGACATTGGAACATTCTATTGGTTCTACCTATATAGGTGTCACCGCTACTGCAGGTTGATTTATAGATACAGTTTGAAGTAGAGCCTACAGAATTTTGTCCTTTAATCGTAGGTACAGGGATCGAAAATGTTTGGGATGTAAAGGAAAGTGATGTGGCGTAGAATGTGCACTGGATAGTTGACCGAAGTCTTTGAGCTGTCAACTGTTCCTATCCAGTATAAACGTTCCCTAGTGAAATGTTTGTTTTCAATGGAACGCAAAATATGTACGAGTAGTACATTAGTGCATGAGTTTCGACACATATATTCAGTTTTATTAGCTAATGGTTATTCAGAAAACTTTATCAATTGTAAGGATAGTAAGGATAAACCTTATTCTTGAAAAGACAGCTTCTGTACCAAAGAAAGCCATCTTTATTAACCAACCATTCAAGGGTGATCAAATTATGCAGTTGACAGCTTAAAGACTTCAGTCAGCCATCATGTGCATATTCTACGCCATATCTCGTTCACTCACATCTCGAACATTTTCGACCCCTGTACCTACGATTAAAGGACGAAATTCTGTAGCCTCTACTTCAAACTGTATCCACAAGTTCACCTGCAGTTGAGGTAACACCTATATAGGTGGAACCAACAGAATGTTCCAATGTCGTCGAAAAAGAACACGTTTCAAAATGGTTATTAAGATACACAGAAATCCCAATGCAGTTAATCTGAATAGAAATATTGTAATCGAAAATTCTATCCACTTGATAATAATAAAAATAGTAGTTTAGAGCTTTCATGTTATTTCTACGATACGAAATCAGTTTTTGTAGGAATGAACGGATTTGGAATACCTAATGGCTGATTTAACAGACCATTTCAATCTTGACTGTTAAATTCATATTAATGTGACATAGTTTTATAACAGCGGATCACGAATCTCATATTTTTATCACAAAAATAGCTCAGGGTTATTATAAGTGAAGTATTAGACCAGTAAATAGAACAGTAGACAAATTGAATTCGGAGACCATACCATTCATATAAACATATCTCGGACAATATTTCCTTTGAGATATATCACGAAATACTGGAGCCAAATGAAGACTAATGAATGGAACTAGTCAAACTGAATTTATCACAACCAGGAAATCCGCTTTTCAATATAACACACAAATACTGGGTCAACGAGAATGTCACTTACATAGGTCAATCGAAATCTAACATGTACTCAGTTCATAGTTGAAAGCCAATATTCAAAATTCTCATTTCATAAGACATGTTTAAAAAATCAGAATATGTTTTCTTACTTGATTTGAATAACCGTCACATTTCCGTGCTACTTGTTCACGATTTTGATTGACTAAATCATCTATAAATAGGGATGAATGACTGCTTTTAAGCAAACAGTTAACTGATGGTGAAAGCTTTATACTTGCTTTACGAATTACTCTTGGTGACAACATGAATCCAGTCTCTTGAAGTCGGCTACCACGAACGTGAATTGTATTTAGGCATTTTGATAACTGATCTAGTAAAAAAAGAGATAAGTTAAAAAAAGTCAAGGTTAGGACATTTAAATAAAACTGGTAAGGCTATTCGTATTTCATTTAGCAATTTACTTCAAACTTTTGTGTGTATACATCTAGATGGAAACGTTTTACTTCTCTTCTTCTCATACTAATATCCGAATTCACTATCAAGTTTCGAGATGTATTACTGAATTAGTCAACTACGTATTAACACTGATGTAGGTAGGAAAGTCAGTTTACGAGTGTTGGTTTGTAGGGAATTGATTGGTTATAGGTTTAGAAAACGAGCTAATATTATTTAGAAAGCTACTGGGTGGTTGTCTCGTCCTAGTTTGGCACTCTTCAGTAGTACGCGCCCAACAGGGTTCGAATCCTGGACCTTCCGGTCACATGGCAACTTCTTAGACCCTTTAGTCACTGGGATCCAACACAGCGGTTCATGAATTCCAACTTCTGCCAATTCGTGATTTGTATAGCTCATCCGGTGGGTAACTGTCCTCTTACCTGACTTAAAGGATCCCACTGGCCATAACCACCCATTAGAGCTCCAGGTAACTTCCTGCATAGAACCGGTAACTAGTGAGCATCAGATTACTTTTCAAATGTTGGTTTGCAGGGATTTGATTGTTTTCACGTTTGACCACAAGCTGACGTCATTTAGAGGCCCTGGGTTTGAACCTCTATGGGTACTTACTACTGAACAGTTGCAAAGTAGGACGAAACAGCTGTCCACTACTCCCAGGTTTTCCAGTGGTTCTGTAACCAATGTCAGCTCATGATGAAACCCTGTAACCGATGTCTGTTTCGTGTAATAAGGGAGAAGACAGACTTCTAATATTCGACACCAAACTCATCACACCATAGTATCTTACGACATTGCTTAGTGACCGTAGTCCAAGCTAAACTAGTGAAACTCAGTAAATACTGCAGCTTTACATAAGTAAGGATTTACAGTTCCCATCATGCGCCTACAGGGAATTACCTGTCAAACACACACAAATTAAGGGGAAAGTAAGTAATAGCAGTTTTAATTTTTAAGGAATTTCGGATATGCCTCACTGAAAGGGCTACTACATGGTATAACTAACCGAAGGGTTTCTATCAGACTAAATTCTAATTACTCGACATAGCATTCACACGACATTATGATGAATGCCATGTTAGTTTTGGTAGTCTAGACTTCCACTGTTCATCTCGTGTAATATATATCGTAAATTAGAATATCTGCACTAACTCTGTATTAACAAAGTGATACTGCCATACATGGGAATGAGATTTGCAACCAAAAAAAACTGGACCACATTCAAACTCAACAAAACAACCTCCTCTTTGATACACCAAATCATTAATTCGCAGCCAACAGTTTCATTTCACACTGCGAACGTTTTGCTCATGAATCATATGAACGTGTCAAATCATAATTCAACTATATATCTTGTTCGTGTTTCAGCACTTCAAAATAAGAGGTCATTGAAATACATCTTAAACCTGATATCTAGTTTAATCACATGATTTTGTTGGTTGATTACAGAATGGGTCATTTGAAAGGGTTATACAACACCGAATAAGATTTGGTTTTCACAAATTTAAAAGTTATTATTTTATTTTTCTTACGATTACTTAACTTTTATATTTGTAATCTGTATGAACTCGTCAGTAAATGATAGATTAAGCAATCTGCTCGTTAAAAAATTAGTGGAAGTCTGTCAAAAGCATCCGGATCATAAACGCAAGGCGGCAATACACTTCTACAGCGTCTTGGGACTGATGTCATACTTCCAAACAGTATTCCTGATGGATTGTAGTCAGAGCACCGGATTATATGTTTATCATTGACAGATAAGTTTGGTCAAATGTATAAGGGGTTGTCATGGAATTATTCTCTGTTAAAATTACATCTGACCACTTTGCACAGGAATATATGTACACTCTGAATAATGTAGAAGGAAAAATGTCAAAGCCCAATTCAACTAAGGGAATTCAGTAGCTTATTTGTTAAAAGTTTATACTTTCATGTACGTTGAGAGCCTGAAACCACAAAATTTTATTATGGCAGTGGTTTTCACTTATCTGATTTATTCAACATAAAATGCAACTAGACTTTAATGGTAGGAGCAGTCTGTAAGAGAGTCTTTTATTTGCAGTTGTATCAGACAGTTGCATCACATCATAGTTTAGAAAGTTTACTGAAGTAAATGTAAGGATTGTAAATTGGGTGGAAGACATAGATGAAAAGAAACTAAACTACTTGCAAGCCGCCACCAGAGTTTATCAGCACAAAGAACCTAGGTAATCCTATTCAGGTTGGTAGTCACCTCAGTTCTAGTAGGAAGTCGTAACTAGTAGGGTTCAGCAGGTCGGGTTTGAGGACAAATGCTCACCAGTGATGTGACATTCGCTAGTGGTCGCGCCATATCATGAATCGGTGGATGCTGAAATTCATCGACTATTAGTCCGGGTCCCAGTGGATTAATGGTCTACGAGTTCATTTGGTAACCGGAAGGTCCTGGGTTTGAACTCCATGTGGTGGGTATGTACTACTGAAGAGTCCCAAACTAGGATGGAACAGCTGTCCAGTACTTCTAGTTATTCCACTGATTCTCTAACCGATGTCAGTTCATCATAAAATCCTGAAAAATCGAATCCTTACAAACCAACATTTGGATAACAAGGAGGGGTAGCTTGTGACCACTGTGAGAAAGACCACATGGTAGCCTTCACCATCTGGCAGACGTTGGCTCAGACCATTATCTTGTACAAGGAACACTCCAAATCAAATTAAAAGCTTTCAAAGAAACAGGAGCTGTAGATGGACCACAAGCCAAGTTCAATACCCAAAAACTGAAGGCTCAAGTTACAAGGGACATCTTCATTGCAATCATAAGGAAAAAGGTGGAGACACAATTTAACACTGGCGAAGTGACCAGCGTCGAAAAGCATTGGAACAGACTGAAAGCGGTGTGCAGTCAAACCTGCATGGAAGTTTTAGACTGGAAGAAGAGACAAGAAAAACCGTGGCACACTATGGACACATAGAGACTAATCGAAGAGAGAAGGATCGTGAAACAAAAGATTATCCAGTGCATCAACGAACAACAAAAATAGGAGTTGCATGCAAGCTACAGTACACTGAACAAAAGAGTAAAGAAGAGTGCCAGAGAGGAAATAAGACAATATTATGAAGATATGGCAATTGAAATGAAACAAGCTTCAGGCAAAGGAGACCTCGCAACACCCTACCAAAAAACAACTAGGGTGCTATCGGGGAGAAGTTCAACACAAAGTAAGCCAGTGAAGGATGACAATGAGAAGCCGAACGCCTAAAAGGTGGAGCAAAGGAAACACTGGGCTGAACACTTCAAAAGACTTCTAAATCGATCGCCACCTACAACGCGCTCAATAATACCAACAGCGGAAGCAGAATTACCAGTGGACACCAACCCTCTCACAAGAACAGAAATCCTGAAGGCAATCAAGATGCTAAACACTGGAAAAGCAGCAGAACCAGACGGAATTCCAGCAGAGGCATTGAAAATGGACCTAGAGACATCAGCGAACTTGATGACACCACTACTGGAGAAGGCGTGGAAAGAGAGCAAAGTACTTGCGCATTGGAAGAAAGGCTACTCATTCAAACTGTTAAAGAAACGAGACTTAAGTCAATGCAAGAACTGGCACGGAATTATGCTCCTGTCCATCCTAAGCAAAATACTAAGCCGCATCATCCTGGAGGGAGTCAAACACGCCTTGGATGAAAAACTTCGACCGGAACAGGCTGGATTCAGGAGAAATAAGTCGGGCATCAATCAAATCTCAACACTACGTATCATCAATAAACAGAGCTTGGAATGGTATTCAGCTCTCTACCTGAACTTCATCAACTTTGAAGAAGCCTTCGACAAAGTCAATTGAGAGGTGATTTGGAAACTACTTCGCTACTACGGGGTGCCACCAAAAATTATACACCTCATCTAGCAGTTGAATGATATTGCTACGTGCCAAGTAATCCACAACGGGAAACTTACGGAATCCTTCGAAGTGAAGACAGGAGTGGGACTGGCTGGTTGGCTGCCTACTATCTCTAGTGATTTTCCTGATTGCGGTAGACTGGATAGTGCGACAGACAGCGGGCAACGAGGGGAGAGGCATAAAATGGACCCACACAAAAAGCCTGGACGATCTCGACCTCAGCCGATGACATTATATGTCTGATTTCCCACAAACTGAAAGATATGCAAGCGAAAAGCAACAAGTTGGCAGAAGAAGCATCAAAAATAAGACTTCAGGTGAACATAGAGGAAACAGAGGTGATGAAGATTCCTGGCCAACAGCAACAGCAACAACGACATACAACAACCAGCATAAATGGGAAAAACCTGACAGAAGCAACCTCCTTTACCTACCCACCTACCTGGGAAGCATCCTTTCAACTGCAGGCGGACGAAACTGATGAGGATATAAAAGTGAGGATAGGGAAAGCGAGTCAAGCAAGTTTCCATTTCTCTCAAGTCTGTATGGAGGTCAGCAGCACACTTAGCATTAAAAATTGGATTTTTTCAACTCCAATGTGAAGTCAATACTACTATACGGATCAGAGACTTGGCGCGTCACGAAGGCCACTTTGAACAAACTACAGACCTTCATCAACAGCTGTTTTCGCTCAATACTCAAGATCAGATGGTCAGCCAGAAAAGATCAGCAGTAGTGAGGGATCTCTGGCAATGAACGAACCAACCCAGCAGGAACCACTTGTGCAACAAATATGCAGGGAGGAATGGAGGTGGATTGGTCATACTCTGAAAAAAACCACCAAGTGATATCACACACCAGGCCATCGCTGGAGTGGAACCCAAATGGTAAGCGGCGAGTTGGTTGTCTGAGGGTGACTTGGAGGAGGCTGTGCGAAGAGGCGACGAAAACATGTGGACAGACGTGGAGTCAGGTGAAAACGTTAGCGGAGAACCGGACGCAATGAGGACGTGCAGCTGAAGACCCATGTTCCTCTAGGAATTAAAGGAAACAATATTAAATAAATACAATGTAGCCTAAATAGTCCACCGCTAATAAAATAATTTATAGATGCAAATTATATAGACATTTTGTGGACTGAAATCATGTGATATGATAGTTGTGTACTTTTGTGTAAACTATTGTTTTCCTGTGTATGATAGATGTTCATATGTATTACTATTTTTAATGAGAGACGACTATAGATTGAAATAAATGACATAACGCATCACATGTTACCTAATGGTAACATAAACCGATATATCCTAATAGCCTTAATCTGCACTAATTAATGCGAAGATTAGGGCATACGAAGTTAACAACCTGTTTATTGTTTTTAATAAAGATTGTCCAACAGAGTTGACCTAATAGTTTTACAAAAATTCGGTGGCCAGTTCTATTTGAAGAAATATCCGCGATATTGGAACGAGCAATCTCAATGCTTTGTGCGTCGGTGGCATAGCGGTTAGGACGCTCGCCGACCATGCACATGGTCCAGGGTTCGATCCCTAGCCGACGCACTCCTTTACCTCGCTAAGCCAGAAATAATGCTGGTGGAGAGGAAAGGTTGGTCATGAGACTAACAACCCCATCCTGTAAAATAAACACTGCTACAGAAACGTCAAGCCACTAGCTTGAAGCCCTATGTTCCACTGGGGAAAGTGAAGGAAAAAAAAGTCTCAGAGTTTTGGTTTTTCTGAAGGTTAATTGTTTTCCAACATAGTTATCGTGATAAATGACTATTATTTACCACAATGCATCAATCAGTGCATTTTATTCAAAGGTTACCAAACAACACCACGTTTGCACATATGATCCAGAAGTAATAAGTTTCGGAAATGTCTGAGTTCTATTTCCCAGGTGAAGCAGTATATGCCTAGCACGTTAGGTAAAAAGGCGAAATCAATCAATGAGATTGTGAGCTTACACTGATTCACATCACTAGGATATGTGTAACGCATACCTAGCCGTCGCCTTCCTTGACAATACGATCAGAATGCGAAAAATTGCGGATGGTCGGATGCAAGCATAGCATCATGTCATGAAGTCTTTGACTATTTATTTTAACCCGCGTAGCGAATTGTAGCTGGATTACACGAGACACTAAGAACCAATAGTTGGTGATTGGTAGTGACATGTCTCAAAATCGCTCTCAGTGTTGCAGATGCATTCACTCTTCGTGATTATTGTTCCCATTATTCATTACTGTTCATTATAGATTCTTGGCACTTCTCTTCACTACCTTTATGTGAGTTTTAATGAAGTTTGGCAACTTGGACTACTGCATTTCAGTACAAAGTTCTAGGCTTAAAGTTCAACTCATTTCAGTTGGATTATATTTAATGCATTTATTAGTGTCATACAACTGACCTTGACCTGAAAGAAACAACCTCTTTTACCTACCTACCTGGGAAGCATCGTTTCAACTGCAGAAGGAACTGACGAGGATATCAAAGCAAGAATCGGAAAAGCAAAACAAGCTTTCACTACTCTCAAGTCTGTGTGGAGGTCAACAGAACTCAGCATCAAAAATAACATCCGGATTTTCAACTCCAATGTGAAGTCAGTCAGTGCTACTATACGGATCAGACACTTGGTGCGTGATAAAGAGTACCTCAAACAAACTACAGACCTTCATTAACAGCCAGTTGTCTTCGCTCAATACCACTCAAGATCAGATGGCCGGCCAGAAAAGATCAGCAACAGAGATCTCTGGCAATGAGCGAACCAACACAGCAGGAACCGATTGTGAAACAAATAGGCAGGAAGAAATGGAGATGGATTGGCTGGCCATACTCTGAGGAAACAAGCCATCAAGTGACATCACTAGACAAGCCATTGCTCGAGTGGAACCCGGCCGAACGGGAAGCGGCGAGTTGGTCGTCAGTGTGAGGGTGACTTGGAGGAGGTCATGTGAAGAGGAGATGGAAACGTGTGGGCAGACTTGGAGTCAGGTGAAGGCCTCCAAAACCTCAGGATGGTCGGGGGTGGGTGCCTTGCGCTGCGGGTTGGCCACCCCTCCGCACACCTCTTGAAATGCTCCCATATGACCGGGCGTCTTACATAGCCTCTCCTGAGGAAGTCCTACTCACTGCCTTCACGTGGCGGAGGTGTTTTTCACCAAAGTGAGAGGGCGAAAGCGGATGCCCGGCGCTCTTCACCGGGTTGACTGTCCATTGGATGGCAGTCTAGGGGAGATGGCTAAACCCTGATTCCAAACCTCCAACGACTGGCGTATGAAGCTCACTGGAGCTCACCGGCAGACGTATGGACAAAGGGCTTGTTGGATGTCCTGGATGTCTGGCCCCATTCAAAATGGCGTATGAACCGAACTCCGGCCACCGGCTGCCAATGGATAGTGGACTCCCTACTCCACTCCTACTGCCTTGTAGGTCACACTTGGTTGTGTAAAGGCTAGAGCTGCACTCTCAAACAAAAGGCCGAGCGATTCTGGGGACATCACTCGTACCAAATTCCCACGAAACTTCATGAACTCTCAACATCAACCAAATTCCAGTACTGGTCCAACAACGTCGCCTTCGGTGGTTTGGCCATGTTCTGCGCCGACCAGATGACGATCTGGTCAAATCAGTTCTAAATCCCTTGCCATTACCATCTTGGCGATGTCGCAGGGGTGGACAGCTGAAAACATGGCTTGGTACAGTCAAGGCTGATATGGAGTGCCTGGGGCTACAAACCATCTACGGACTCCGTCTGTGGAACAAGAATTGGATAACCCTGTCGCAAAAACTTGCATCAGATCGCCGCGCCTGGGCAGCGATGATTCGAGATGTTCATGAAGCCGGCTCATCCTCCCGTAGGAGATAGCCGAAGTAAAGAAGAAAGTCAGGTGAAGACTCTAGCAGAGAACCGAACGCAATGGAGACGCACGGCTGAAGCCCTATGTTCCTCTAGGGATTAAAGGAAACAGTAATAATAATAATAATGATAATAATAATAAGTGTCATAGTATGCAAAAAGAATCAAGCATAAAATAGGCATTTAATAAGATTAACCACGTGTTATTTCACATACCCTTATCAGTTATTTGCAGACTTGAATCATCAGTTTTATAAGCATTACTATTAACATTGTTAGAACTGTTTGTTGATTCATTTGCGTGTATTCGTTTAAAGGCTTCTTGTACTTCATAATAGGCATGTGTATACTGTAGATAATTTGTTGGTGGACGTCCAGTTAACTCCTATATTGATTATTACACAAAGATAGACACAAAAACAAACAAAATGAATAAAATAGATGAAAAGTGAGTAAATATTTGAGTAAAGAGTATCTTGATGATATATTTCAGTATATAATACCCTGAAATTGTCCATATATTATTAAATACTTAATATAACTTAGCAACACACTGATTTCCGTAGTCAGCAAATATAGCAATGTAGATAGATAGTAAAATGTGATAAGAGTAAGCACACGTGTACAGCTATAAATCTATTAATACTTCATATTATCTTATCTTAACATTATCAAATTGTTTCAGTGAATTTTATTAATTTCTAAAAGCAAATAATTTTGAAGCAATATTCAAAGATGTGAAGGAATTATCAGTTGAATTAAAGAAGATTATTATTTACTATTGTTCCCTTGGGTTACTAGTGGAACATAGGGCTTCAACAACACGTCTCCACTCGCTTCTGTCTTCTGCTGTACTTTTCACTTGCATCCATGTTAATCCATACTGTTTCAGCTCCTCTTCACACGATCTCCTCCATGTCACCCTTGGACGTCCCACTCGCCGCTTCCCTTTCGGGTTCCACTCGAGCACTGGCCTGACGCGCGATGTCACTCAACGGCCTCCTCAGCGAGTGTCCAATCCATCTCCACTTCCTCCTGCACATTTGTTGGGCGACTGGTTCTTATTTTGTTCGTTCACATAGTTTCTTGTTGGTTCTTGTTCTTTCCGGCCATCTGATCTTCAGTATGGAGCCAGCGAAGACAGTTGTTGATAAAGGTCTGCAACAGGCTGTTGGAAATGTTCTTTGTGACCCGCCAAGTTTCTGATCCGTATAGAAGAACTGACTGACTTGACGTTTGTATTGAAAATCCGAATCATTTTGTTGTTGATGCTGAGTGACAGCGGAAGATTTCCAGATTGGTTTCAGGTTGATGAATGTGTTTCTCGCCTTCCCGATTCTCGATTTGACATCTTCGTCCGTTCCTCCTGTAGTTGAGACAGTGCTTCCTAGATTAGTGAATTGTAGAAGAATAGGCCATTTTATTCACCGTTGGACGGAATTTCATTAACTCCCTTCTGGCATTATCTTTTTTCCATTTTCTTGCATTCCGAGTGGAACGTCCCCAATCTTTTGAAGTTTCATGACTAACTATCAGTCACTAAATAAGGAAAGGTTTAGGAGTCGAATCCGGCCCACTATTTTATTTAGCTAAAATTTTATTAACTAAGCCTCCAACTAATGGAAAGAAGTGACCAATGTAGATCAATAGATCTTCATGATTACTAATCTGAGCACTTAATTTTGAAATAAAATAGACTCACGACTTATGCGAAATAACACAAAGTCTGAATATCAGTAAACTTAAGACCTTAACAAAACAGGATTGAAACTCACACAAAAAAGAAAACTAAAATACAGACGCAAATAACGGTATATTCAAATCCCCGAAAGCCATATGAGTTTTAGATTTAAGGTAATATTAAGTGCAAGAAAATGTGCGCCCTCTGATTTCTGAAATCTAACAAACAAGACTAGCTAATATATTGATTTTAGATCTTGTAGAGATTTTGATTCATTTTATTGAAGATACCAACTACAGAGTCATTAAAAATTAAGGATTACTGAATGGCTGTTTTGTCCCAGTCTGAAACTCTTCAGGATTGCACGAACTGACAGAAGTTAGGATTCATGGCGTTGTTGAATTCCAACTCAGTGGATGCATGGTCAATTGTAGGTTGACGGTTGTAGGTTGAAGGTTTCAAGTCCCATTCCTAGTGAGATAGTGGATGAACACTAGATTGTGTCCAGAATAGGAGAAACGCAGCAATGAACCTTATTTCTCAGTGTCACTTGTGGCATTTTGTTTATTGTGTTAAAGGTCTCTATGCCAAAGAATTTTATGTAGAATAGAATATGCTAAGTAGTTGAGCAATTTATGATAGTATTTTAAGATGGCATTTGTAATTCGATCAGAAACAGTAAAAACAACTCTTAGACGGAATCAGAAACACTATTACAAGACAATGTACTTCTAAACTGAGACTTAGCTTTCAATACCAAATTGTGACATAAATTTCTTCCATAATATTGAAGAAAGATTAATCAAACTATCTGAAATAGTGGAGATTCGTAGCTCAGGTGGATGATATTGAATTAATTGTGTTCTCCGAGATGGTCCGTTAAACTGCGAAGCTTTCGTCGTCCTTCTAGACAACATTTTCAGCGCAGGCTTGAGTATAAAATGAACTCATTTAAATTCTCCATGAATGATGTAATTGTATCTCCTGACAATCCTAGTCGTAATTGTTCCTTAATTCATGTCTCTATTGGTCATTTTGATTGACTTGCAATTCAAACTCTCTTGTCATGTGATTTATTTTTTTTATTAGTTGGTAAATTTGGTCAAAGTGGGCTCCCCTTCGAATGCGAATCCAAGAACACATAGACATGATATGTATTCTTTCAAATGTGTGCATGCAGATAATTGTGGACACCAATTGTTTGGGAGAATGTAGAAATTTTAAATACAGGAAACGCCAAAACTGCAATCAGGGAATTCCTAGAAGCCTGGTACTCAAGAATTTACCAACTAATAATGTACAAATCGAAAGACAAGAAAGTTCGAATTGCAAGTAAATCAAAATGACCAATAGGGACGTGAATTAACAACCAGTCACGATGGTGGTCGCCAGGAGATACAATTACATCGTTCATGGAGAATTTAACTGAGTTCATTTTATACTAGAACATGAGCTGAAGATGTTGTCTAGAAGGACGACGAAAGCTTCACGATTAAATCAACCATCTCAGAGAACACAACTAATTCAAAATCAAATTATCTCATGATAGAATTAAATTCGTAAAATAAAGTCCTGTAGTGTTCATTACTATCATAGTGATATTTAGTCGTATTTTGCTCATCTAAAGAAAGATGACAAAACAAGTGATCACAACTCATTTGAGTTGGTCTATCATTTATTTTATTGATTAGTTATCTAAGTCATTTTAAAATATGACATCTTTCCTGACCTTAGTTAATCACTATGTAAATAAGAGTCACATGGTAAATAAACAAAATGGTACTTCTGTTAGAAATCTGTAGCATTTTTTTTTAATTAATAAAGCTATAAAATGGGTTGATAAACACTGGAAGAATGAGGTTTCATGATTATTGATAGATAAAACTAATAGTCTGGTGAGATGGAGTGTGATTCACAAACAACTACACCACAAGAAGAAATGAAGACAAGGGTGACCAAACTCATAATCTGGGAAGTAATGATAGCAACTGAAGAAAGGATGACAAGAAACAGCACAGATAGTTAGCAATACTGACAGTCAAGTCAATTTAAGACTTAGTGGTTTAAAATCTTCACCATAAGTTTCAAACATTTATCCAAAAGCCGGTCTATTATTAACAATGACTTTATGCATGGATAAAACACCTCAGTCTGACTTAGTGACTGACTGACTGGTTTCAACGTGGAACTTTGCACAGATGTGCAGCAGTTCGAGTTCTCACACTCCATTTAGCACACAAAGGTAGATAAGACAGTAAAGACATATTCAAAGGAGAGATAATAAACAGAAATATGAGGCAAAAAGAATGGTAATACGGAAGAAGAGTAGGATTTTGTTGGATATTATTATTATTTTCAGACAGTGATTGCATCTGCGCCACCCACTGAGAACTATTTCGAGCCACATCAATAATTGTCTCCAGCCGTCATTGGTTCTTACCATCACGGGGACCCCAACCATTCAGGCAGTCTACAACTCCCTGCGATGCTATCTGGCTTAAACTAACTGTTGTGCATTTCATTGACTGATGAAGCGATTTTTCGACCACTACTCTGTCTCTTTTCCAACCTGATCCTATATCAGCTAACATTGCTCTTCTGTCGAGGAAGGCGATGCCTAGGTATAAGTAACACATTTCCTAACCATCTCAATCGGTGTAGCTTCAAAACCTCGTAGAGTGATTCCCCCTCCTTACCTGACACTCGACCAATGCCTAACCTCAACACCTCATTCTAACACTTAAGAAGCTTCTTTCGCTTTATGTGTAAGACTTTGGGTAGAATGTACAACAGGAGTCAATTAGTAGAAATAAAGGAACTGTCTCAACCACCTCAGTGTATTTTATTCAAAATAGAGGCAGTCTGACAAAACTTTATGTATATGGAATGAATAATTTTCGTAACTACTACTTTGCTTGTCATTCTCAAACAAATAATAGAGATGCGCACTCCGTGAAATGCTTGATGGTTGAAAAATGAAAGAAAAAATATTCTAAAATAATTATTTTGGCACTATCACACATCTACATAAATGTGATAAGCGTGAGGTTTAAACACCGTGAAAGTTAAGGATTATTCACACATAAATACTGTGCAAAATAAAAGTCTGATTCAGAGTATGAAATGAACCCAATTATGTAACATACTTATCAAGTGTCTTATCTTGTGAAGACCACAAACACAAGGAAATAACCAGAATCAAAACATCATAAGTATGACTGTATAATAACGATTTTATAACAATCTATCTGTCTTGTTGAACAGGTCAGTGATGAAGATTATTACAAATGAATGATTTTAACAGTTTTCAGTTGTCCATTAATTTACATGACTATCTCACATTCACCTAATACACCTGAAAATCGTTGCTCATTTGAATCGATAACGTTGTAATGAAAAGTTATGTAATATCTCGTGTATTAGTTCATGTTACGTCATCCACACACTAAGAAGTTTAATCTTCCGACAGATGTCAAAGTGATTCTTACGGGATAAAATTTTATTTTGATAAAATCACACAGAGTTATACTGTATAATATTTACTAATGATCACGTTTCGAGCGCAAATTATTGGCCATAATTATATCAAGGCACTCACACATCTTTCTTCCTTCGTTTATATACATAAGTAAAAACTGATGATTAGACATTTGAATAAAATCAATATAAGATAAAGTACATTGGGAAATAAGTGTTATTAATAA